CAGCCTCCATGTCTCCAGTATCTTTTTCCCCACTTGGAGCCGAACCCAGAAGGACATTTCTTTCATCAAGAGTTAAGGAAAATGGATGGTCTCCTTATTCTCTCAAAATTAGCTCCTGAGGGGTAGTAGGGTTCTTCACACAAGCTGTTTACAGTATAGCTTACTTATCCCACCAAAGTACTAAGATACCATGTTGATTCAAAGGTTGCATCCTAACAACATCTACAGTAAAGATAAGATCCTTTGATTCAGAAACATTTCAACTAAAAAAGGCAGTAGCAGGTAGGAAGGTCCTTTGTCCCGAAAATGAGTTCCATTGCTGAAACTGACCTGCTTCTAGCTATCCATCACTTTTCCACACGAACATTATTTGTAAGTGGTGCCTGTTGTTGTTATCTCTTAGATAATAATACAGATGATTTAAACTTATATGTTTAGAAAAGGTTTTGGAAATGAAGGAAATGGCTATCAATTTATCTAGCATCACCCACTATTGGCTTTGAAAAAACAAAAAATGGAGACAAGCTCTAGCCAAAGTGTTTTTAATATTAACATGAATGCCCTGCATATAGGCAAAATAATACAGGTAGTTTTCAACTGTAGGAAGTTAGCTGTCTACTCATCTCACCACATGACACCTGGGAAGATTACATCACCCAGCAAGGCTCAACCAAGCCTCAGATACAGACAGCCTACAAAGTTAACTAAGACCCCCCGCCCCCTGGGAATCTGCCAGCCAATGGAATACATTTCTTCTACAGGAACAGGAAACTCTAAGGGAGGGCCCAAGAGAGTGTATAAATATATCCCTTTCTCCACTCCATGTGTGGGGGGTTTTGTTGCCTAGGTCCGTGATGGCTCCACAGGTGGCACATGGAGCCATTTGTTAGGGCACACAAGGCATTGCCCTGTCAGCTCCAGCGCACATGCACACATTGGCCATCTGACTTTGGCTTTCTTTTAAGGCTGTTTTTTGCCCTCTGGAAGCTTCCTGGAAGCCTCCTGAAGCATGAAAAACCGGCCCTAGGGGAAAACCGGAAGTTCAAGAACGGACTTCCGGTTTGCTCATAGGGCTGTTTTTCGCCCTCTGGAGCGATCCCTGAAGGCACCGTAGGGCAAAAAACGGCCTTATGGGCAACCTGGAAATTTGGGAACAGTGACTTCCGATTTGGCCATAGGGCTATTTTTTGCCCTCCGGAGCATTAAGGGAAGCCTCCAAAGGGCCACCAGGGGGGTGGGGGAGGCTGTTTTCGCCCTCCCCAGGCTTCTAGAAAGTGCGCCAAAAGTGGGGGGAATGCTGTTTGTGCATGCATGTGCACGGGTGTGTGGGTATGTTGCACACACATGTGAACTGGGGTCACGCATAGCATGGTTGGAAGAAATGGCCTTCTGGGTTCAGCTCCATGTGGGGAAAAAGACACTGGAAACATGGAGGCTGTTTGGAAAGAT